GTAATGTTCACACATCTTCACCAGGAGTAAATTCCATCTCAAGAAACCACTTTCTTTGCTCATCCATAAGAAGCAACTCCTCATCCATTAAAGTTTTATCATGAGCTTACAGCAATTCAGTCACATCTTCAGGCTCCACTTCTAATTCTAGTTCTCTTGCTATTTCTACCACATCTGCAGTTACTTCCTCCACTGAGGTCTTGAATTCCTCAAAGTCATCCATGAGGGTTGGAGTCAACTTCTTCCAAACTCCTGTTAATGTTGATATTTTGATCTCCTCCTAAGAAACATGAATGTTCTTAATGGCATCTAGAATAGTGAATCCTTTCCAGAACATTTTTGATTAACTTTACTCATATCCATCAGACTAATCACTATGGCAGTGATACCCTTATGAAATGTATTTCTTAAATAATAATACTTGAAAGTCGAAATTACTCCTTGATCCATGGGCTGAAGAATGGATGTTGTGTTAGCAGTCATGAAAACAATATTACTCTCCTTGTATATCTCCAACAGACCTCTTGGGTGACCAGGTGCATTGTGAATGAGCAGTAATATTTTGAAAGGGATCTTTTTTTCTGAGCAGTAGGTCTCAACAGTGGGCTTAAAATATTCAGTATACCATGTTGTAAACAGATGTGCTGTCATCCAGGTTTTGTTGTTTCATTTATGGAGCACAAGTGAAGTAGATTTAGCATAATTCTTAAGGACCCTAGAATTTTCAATGGTAAATGAACATTGACTTCAACTTAAAGTCACCAGCTGCATTAGCCCCTAACAAGAAGGTTGGCCTGTCCTTTCAAGCTTTGAAGTCAGGCATTGACTTCTTTCTAGCTATGAAAGTCCTAGATGGCATCTTGCAATATAAGCCTGCTTTGTCTACATCGAAAATCTGTTGTTTAGTGTAGCCACTTTCATCAGTTATCTTAGCTAGATCTTCTGGATAACTTACTGCAGCTTCTACGTCAGCATTTGCTGCTTCACCTTGTATTTTTGTATTATGGAGATGGGATATTTCCTTAAACCTCATGAACTAACCTCTGCCAGCTTCCAACTTTTCTTCTGCAGCTTCCTCACCTCTCTCAGCCTTCATAGATTAAGGAGTTAGGGCTTTGCTCTGAATTAGGCTTTGGCCGTGACTGGTTTGATCTTCTATCTAGAACGCTAAAACTTTCTCTATATCAGCAAGAAGGCTGTTTTGCTTTCTTATCATTTGTGTGTTCACTGGAGTAGCACTCTTAATTTTCTTCAAGAACTTTTCCTTTGCATTCACAACTTGGCTACCTGTTTGGCAGAAGAGGTTCAGGTTTCAGCCTATCTCGGCTTTCAACATGTCTTCCTCACTAAGCTTAATCGTTTCTAGCTTTTGGTTTAAAGTGAGACATGTGACTCTTCCTTCCACTTGAATGCTTAGAGGCCATTGTAGAGTTATTAATTGGCCTAATTTCAATATTGTCATGTCTCAGGGAAAAGGGAGGCCCCAGGAGAGGGAGGGCCGGGAGAGAGATGGGGGAATGGCCCATCAGTGGAGCAGTCAGAACACGCACAACATGTATCAATTAAGTTTGCCGTCTTATATGGGTGTGGTTCGTGGCATCCCAAAACAATTATAATAGTAACATCAGAGATCACTAATCACAGATTACCGTAACATATAATAGTAATGAAAAGGTTTGAAATATTGCGAGAATTACCAGAATGTGACAGAGATACGAAGTGAGCACAGGCTGTTGGAATAATGGCACCAATAGACTTGCTCAATGCAGGGTTGCCACAGACCTTCAATTTGTAAAAAATACAGTATCTTTGAAGCACAATAAAATGAGGTGTGCTTGTATATGTACTAATCTGTTTCTAATGTCTCTATTCCATTGATTTTTTTTGGTCTATTCCTGCACAAATACTACACTGTCTTAAAGTTTCATGTTAATTCCTGATATCTAGTAGTTTAGTCTCCTTCATTTTTTTTTAAGTTTCCTTTCTGTCCTTGAACTTTTATCTTTTCATATAAAGTTTTGAATAATTTAACCCAGTTGAGATTTCATGGAAAACCCAAATTGGATTTTGACTAGAATTGCATTGAATCTTTAGATCAGTTTGGAGAGATCTGACATGTTTACATTATTGTCTTATTTTTCACTAACATCGTTTATGTCTCCATTTGTTTAGGTCTCCTTTAATATCTCTTAATAAAGTTTTAGATTTTCCCTCTAGAGGCCTTGAACACCCTTTTATTGGGTTTATTCCTGTGTTCTTTATAGTTTCATTTCTGGTGTTGCTATGATACCTTCTCCTTAATTGTGTTTTCTAGTTGTTTGCTGCCGATTTATGAAAAACACAAACAACCCAAAAGGAAAATGAACAAAAGACTTGGCTAGATATTTCATACAAAATGAATTTAAAGAGATGCTCATCACCATCAATGAGTAGAGAATTGCAAATAAAGAGTACAATGAGATACTGCTTTACACCCATTCAACTGGCAAAAAATTAAGAGGCCTGACTATAGCATGTATTGAAGAGAAAGTGCATCCACAGGATATTATACATTTCTTGAGGGGAGTGCATTTTGGAAAGCAGTTTGACATTTCTCCTAAAGTTATACTTTATGACCTACCAGTTCTACTTCTAGATGAATACCCAAGAGAAATTCTTGTACATGTACGAGAGGAGACATAACAGCAAAATTTATAGAAGCAGTAACTTGGTACTAACCTGAATGTCCCTCAGTGGAAGAAGTTGAATAGATTCTGGTTTATTCACACATTGCAGTATTATACAACCTTCAGAATGAGAAGCTGCAGTGACATGAACAACATGGATGCAGATTGCCAGTATAATAATAAGTTTAAAAAGTGATTACATACAGCATGATACAGCATGATGCTCTTTTTATAAAGAAAAACAACTTAATACTTTTAAGAAATATTTGTAGATGCAATATAACTTATAAAAAAGGGAAGCAAGGAAATGATGAACTCATGATTCAGAATGATCATTGTCTTAGGTGTGGGGAGCAGGGCTTAAAAAAAAAAAAAAGTGTGTACCAGACATCACATACTGGTAGCTTATTGGCTTAATTCAGTCAATCAAAATGTTTGTTTGTTTTTGTTTTTTGTGTTCTTTTGGTGTTTTTCTTAGTTTTCTTTCTTTTTTTGGCTACTTACCTAAACTTCAGATTAATATTAAATATTTTAAAATTCATTTTAAAAAAATTTTGGAACTTATCCAGTCTTTTTAAATTAACAATGATTGGTGAAGTTTGTCAAATGCTTCTGGTTCCCTCTCCTTCCCAGGCATATGCCCAGGCCCTTTGTATTTGTTTACGACCATGTAGTAGTTCTGGCCACTTGTGAGCAGAAGTGGCCTGGCACTACTGGTCAGAGCATTTAATTGCTGTAGCAAGACCTCCCTGAGTTGTAGGCAAGCCAATAATGTAGGTTCTGGAAATGCAGAATAAAATAGAAACTGCAGTACTGAATTTTAGAGGGACTGTTGATAATTCAGCTAATGGGTTGAACTGGAAGGTAAGCAGGCTCTATGATGTTTTCTGACAGTGTGAATAATGATCAGAAACCAAGAATGCCGTATTTTTCGCAAATAGCGCACCCCCCGTGACTAACGTGTACACATACAACACGTGGACATGAAGAAATAATGTAAAAAAGTTCTGGCATAGCACACCTGTGCACATACCACGCATGTCTTGTGACGTTTCCAGAAGTGAATTTCTGCCTCCTTCACCCTCATTCAATAGTCCGAAAATGTTACTTTTGATCATATTTGTATAATAAAGGTATAAACCATGGTCAAGAAGTCATGGATCGAGTAGTACATGGATTGATAGTACCCTGGTAATTGGAAAATAAACAATTGAAACTGCATTTGTTTCTATTAATTTAAGTTGATGGTTATATCCCCGTCGCTTTTTAAACGATCAGTCAGAACCTTGACTCTACTGAAGCCTGTTCATAAATTACGTGCTATCAATTGGAAGCGTAAACAAAGTGAAGCCTGCGCTGGCGTAAATGGCATCTAGTAACTATCAATAGGAATCTGGATTCAGTCTTCGTTGGCATAATTATCACAGTCGTTTTCTGACTTTGGCTTTTAATTGGAAGAATAAACAAAGCAAAACTGATACAGGATCTCCTCTTGACTCAACAGTTGAGCGTGAAAACCTTACCAGATCATCTTAAGTGAAGCCATTAAGCTATGTTAGGTCTGCTTATTTCATCTAATTATGTCTTATCCTTGGAAATCCTATGGGGCAGTTCTACTGTGTTCTGTAGGGTCGCTACGAATTGGAATCTACTTGATGGCAATGGGTTTTTATTGGTATACTTAGTCCACTGTTAAAATTTGTTTACATACATTAATTAGAGGCTGACTAGACTTTGGAGGAATACAACCTAAGATTGTTCTGGAAGATGAAAAAGATTCAGGACTAACTAACATTCCTAGAAATATAACTTCACTCAGTTACATTCTGTATAGATAGCATCTACCTATTTATCAAATTGTCGTAAAATCTATTAAAACGTAAGAAAAGAAGTCCATTTGAAAACTCAGCATTTTGTTTTAGGAAAGCAGACAGAACCATAAATTTAAGTAAGACGTATAGAAAGTTTAATTATCTAATTTTGTCAAAATGTGCTGATTCTCTTAACTGTCAAATCAAGTTAAAACAGAAGCCTTGCTTTGTGTCCTAAGGCCTAACTCATACAGACAGATTGACTTCCTCTGATGATAACTTGAGAGCTGGAGCAGTTTTTATTAAATATTAACAGTATGAACTGAGAACTGTTGAAAGTATAGGAAGATGGCTGTTTTTCCGTGGGTGTTCAAGATAGGGAAGGGAAAAACAAAACAAAAAACCATCCTCTTGAATTTTTTCTTATCTAAGTTTAATGTTGTTAATGCTTTATTTCCTTAGCGAAATTATAATGTTTTGTTGCTCACACAAAGGAATTTTTCCCATTTTTCTCTTTATATAGATCCGTTTGAACCACAGCGGCGTCGCCCCGTGAACAAAAGTCGACAACAACTTCTGCGAGAAAAAGCCCTTCAAGAACAAAGCCAAAACCTTGGACTTCAAGATGGATCAACCTCATTACCTCCAGAACAGCTGCTTTCCACACCAAAACAGAGATTTAATACTCAAAAACCACATTCTTGTCTTCCTGCTCCTCCTGTCACACTCACCTCTCCTATTGGTGATGAAAAACAACCGGGTACTGAAAGTCAGCCAAAGGAACTGGGATTTGAGACTTCCCATGATGTGAACCTCAACAAAAAAGTGGAGGTTCTACCTCCAAAGCCAGATTGCAAATTGGAGAGAAAGAAAATGGAATTGTTAGTAAGTCTATATATCCATGAGATTTTCCACCCGTTTTACTTTTTCTTTTTTCTGTTGGGCTTTGAGGAAATACAGGTTTTAATATTTCCTCCATTTTATATTGCAGCCTAGAAATCTGATAAATAAACTGTTGAAAGATAGCTACCACCAGACTGTATTATATGCCAGGCACTGTTAGGCGTTTTATGTTTTATGTAATGTAGTCTTCACAACAGCCTTGCGATGCATGTTATTTTCACTTTACCGATGAGGTCTCTGGGATTCAGAGAAGATGTTATCTTTCCAAAGCTAATACAGTCACTCTTCATTTATCGACATGGTTAGATTCCAAAGACCAAGTCATTATGTGAAAATTGGTATTATGAGAAAATGGAGAATGGATGACCACAACAGAGGATGACTACATCATTACATGATGAATTCTTGTGAATTCTGATAATCAGAACTTTTTGTATTTTAGAGCATATGTTGTAATATCTACTCATTTCTTTGTTTTCTCCTGATTTATCACTTATATGGGAGAAAGGATGGCTTTTGTTCCTGTTTTCTATTTCTTAAGTCTTTTTCAAAGTATTTTATATTTTTTTCTAATCTCTGAAATTTTTTTTTAATCTCTGCTGGTCCAAATTTGTACTATGAGTTTAAATTGTTCCCTTCCCACAGGGGGTTTACAAGTAAGAAATCATTTTGACAGATAATAAAATCGCATAACCTATGAAACGAACATTGTATAAGTACATACAAATATATATAAATACTTTTAAGTCTAGTTGACCAACAAATAATCTGAGACAGGTGGTAGGTGAGTTTAAATTTAGCTGGACAATTTAGATGGAATGTCTTTGGGAAATTATCCTCCTTAGGTATTTTGGAAAGGGGAAATTCTGAGGTTTTAAGATGGAGAAAGGAAAGCTGCATCTCTTTTTAGAGAAGCTCGGAGATGATATGTGTCTTCTCTGGAAGAGGCGAAGGGTTGACCAGAGAATAGTAGAGGATTAAGGAAGTAAAGAAGGCCTTGGAGGCATAAACTGCCTGCCTAGCCAATTCCCTGATACAGCAGGATACCACCAAGCCTCTGACGGAGACATGTCTGGATCAGAATAATGGTTAGAGAAAACCCAGGTGTCAGCATGTAAGACTGTTGAGTGCTGAGTGAGATGAGACTAAGGTGAAATGCCTGTTGTAGTAAACATGAGAAATGGCCACTGCCAGCACTAAAGTGGAGGCTGTAGGAATGGTGAGAAGGACAGTTTTGAAAGTGGTAACTAAGCTTGGGAAGAAAAGATCTTGGCTATAATGGCTGTAAGAAATGACAATAGTCGGAGTAGATAATCTTGCCATTACCTTGGTTAATTTGAGTTGACATGAAATTCAGTATTTATGGGAAATTTTACTATACTTTCAGAGTTGAACAGATTGGGAACTAATTCGTGTTTTCAGGTCTTCGAGGTTTTTCTTTAGCCCAGAATTCTTTCCAGTCATAGTTAACAGTGTTTCACTCTGTTTAGAAGTGTTGAAGAGTTGGAAAGAAATGAGCAAATTGAAAGAAAATACATGAAATAAACATTGGTTATTGTCTTAAAGATGTTAACGTGGTGGAGGCTTTCATTATAGAAAACTCTAAAAGGTAAGACTATAACAGATGGCATAAGCTACATACCAATATATTTTGATCTCCGTTTAGCATATAATACCTAATTAACTTACACAAGTTTCTTTGTACTCCTAAAAAGAGCCAAAGTACTCTGGCTTCCAGTTTGTGGGTTTCTAGATTATATATATATAATGGATTTCAAAGGGCCAATTTATGTAAGCCTCCTTTACTTCAGATCATAGTCTTTGTTCCTATTAGAATAAAATAACGAGCTGCAGATGGGTCCCTTTTAAGAGGACTTTTGAAAGAAAATATACATAATCTGGTTGATTAAATTTTATAGTTAGGGGACTGAGACTGGTAAGGTATGGGATGGGGTAGCAGTCTTTCATAAGTCACTTTTATACTTTTTTTGTTCCCCAGGCAAGAAAAATCTCGTTGGGAAGTCCTCCAACAAGAACAACGGCTAATGGAAGAGAAAAATAAACGTAAGAAAGCTATTTTGGCCAAAGCTATTGCAGAAAGGTGAGGCACATGAACCAGGAGAGGTTGTTTGTAGCTTGAAGTCAGTCAGTCATGCTTTATGTTTATTTTCCCATGTCTGCTCTAGTAAATGGTTATTTTCTCTATAACCATTTAAGGCTAATTAAACAACTTATTTATGCTTTATGAATGATACCTAAATTCTGGTTGTCTTACCTTAATTAAGGAGGACTTTTTAAGCATAGGTCATATTGAATTTATGAATGTAGATGCAGTTGAAACTTAAGGACCAGCACCAGTATTTTCAGTTTAATCATCTGCACATTTGTAACGAAAGGAGTAAATAGCTGTGAACATATGTAAGTTAGCAACAAATGCAGGTTTTAAGTTTGATGTAGGGAGTCCTTAATGATCTGGCATGTGGCAGAATAAGGTATTCCACATAAGTGACTTATACTCCTACAAATCTTAATTGTGTTTCCTGTGACATTTTCTTAAATATAGTATAACCTTTTGTTGATGACTTGAGGTCACCATTGTGAGCACTGTCACATGCTGTATGAGATCAGTTTTCTCTTACATTGCAGTGTCTATCAGTGGTCCTTTTCTCCTTCATTGCTGTTGTGCCTACCTTGAACAGCAGCATTCCTGTTCAAGCCACTCTTCCCATTGCCCACCCACTCTTTCTGCCCATTTATTTGTAGTTTAATCTGCTGTGGCTGTAGGAAATCAAGTATAGACAAGGCAGTGGCTGAGAATAGTGAGAACTAAATGCAAGCACTCAGTGGCATTTTCTTTCTAGATCTCTGGAAAAATCTGGCAAAACTATTACTGACTAAGAGGCTGGAGTGCATTTCTAAGGGATTTGAAGGGGTGCTGAGAGAGACAGATGGCTGTAGGAGTTATTTGGAATTTTATTTTCCAGAGGGATGTATTTATTTGAAAATGATTTTCCCCCGTTCTACTCGCGCACCTTGATCTTACATGAAGTGTAGAAAATATCCAATTTGCTGAGTTTCTTACTATGTTTTAGCAAAAGGACAACACATAAAAAGTACTGCCCTCTTTTTTTCTCCAAGTGATTACCTGTTGAAAAGCATTTTAGTATCCTCAATTTGGAAGAGGGAGAGACGCTGTTTATTGGGCATTTTATAAAGGAATGTACAGGTACAGCACTCACTCTTCCCTGAATGCTTTTGATTTAAGACAGAAAGCACTAATGTAGGCAAAAATACTGACAGTGAAGTACTTGAAGTAAAAGAATCATACTAGTAAATGAACTTTTGTGGACAGAAGGCAGAAGTAAATGCATAGTGGAGTAGAAATGAGGAGAATGATCTTGAGCATTTCATGACCAGGCAAAACAGAATTAGGAGACAGGACTGAGTTGTGTCAGTCGATAATTTTTGAGTACTATAAAGGGACGGAATTCATTCTTAGAGTAAGTTGCAATATAGTGGCTTTATGTGGGGTTTTCTTCCCCCTCAAAAATGTATATAAAATTTTGAAATGAGTGAAATCCTGATTAAAGGTTTGCTTTTGTATTTGCTTGTTCTGTTTCTTAAGTGTATATTGTACACAGGGGGTGAAGAGGAGACTGAGAGGGAATGAGGTTGGATGTGCTTTTAAACAAGAAAAGCAAAAACTGTTTTGTTTGGAGCCCCACAAATAATTTGAAGACCTGTAGTTTTGTCTGTAGGACAAGAATCAAAGCAATAAAAGTTAGGGGAAATAAGTTCTAAGAAAGTAAAAACCAAATACATGGTTTCAGACGTAAAGAAATGGTGTTTGTTAATGTAGGCATCTATTCTCAGTGTCTACTAAGTGTCAGGCAAATGAAAATGGGCTTAGCAGGAAGAAGAATTTAAAGCTAGAAATTTGGAAGGCTGTGTTGGATGTTCTGATGAAAACGGAATACAGATGTACTTTTTTAGTGCTTATTCTCCTTATTGAATGAATATAGACTCACATGTGAATTATTTATTGGGATTTTTTTAAACTTTATTTTCTCCTTTATGCAAATAATATATGCTAATAGAAAATTTGGAGAAAAAAGGAAAAAATCTCAAATGCAGTCTCTGAGAGATGTATGAAAATGTTACCTGCATTTATTTTATTTAAGTTTTTCTAATTTTTAAATCTTATATTATAACCATATGCACTCACTCACTCGTGCTCTCTCTAGTATCTTGCATCTTGCTTTTTTTCCCTTAAATCGTGTATGGCTACACTGTTAAAAAAGATTTTTATTTTTCTACTCATGTTCCTGATTCTCTAGATCTAAAAGAACTCAAGCAGAAACCATGAAATTAAAGCGGATCCAGAAGGAGTTACAGGCTTTAGATGACATGGTGTCCACTGACATTGGAATCCTCAGGAACCGGATTGATCAGGCCAGCCTAGACTATTCATATGCCCGGTAAGTTGGGGAAAGTGAACTCTGATCAGGGAGTCCAGTTTAATTAATGTCCATTACTAGCCAGGTGAGGCACTTTTATGCATGTCATCATTTAAGCTTCAGAACAGCCCCATTAGGTGCTGTATTATTCCTCTTTTTTGCTAATTCAGGCGCCTTCTCTTCTGTGAAGACTTACTTAACTCTGTTCTACCAGCTTACCTTGTTATATGCCTGTTAGCCCGTTAGAGCATTTCTTACATTGTTCACTTACATTTTAGTCTTTCCTGCTAAACCATCAGCTATTTAATGTTTGGGACTCAGTTTTTAGTAATTTTTTAGGGTCTAGCAAAGTAAATGCCACATAGTAGACTCTCAATAATTATTTCTTAAACAAATGACAATATCTGAGTGACTTGCCCCCAAACATGTAACTGTTAACATCTCAGAACCATATTAAAACTATTATTTTTACTCTAAACTTTGCCGTTCCCTTAAAAAATTGACTGAGATGATCATTACGGGGTGGAAGCCTAGTTCTTATTTTAGTTTTCATCAGAGTAACACGATCTAGTTTATTTTTTATAAAATTTGTGAGTATTTTAAAGAAAATACAACCCCATCTTGGAAACTTGAAACTTTTTGTCTTCTTTTATATACTTCTTTTCTATTATATGTTATTTTATGCACTTATTATCTTCTTTTCTATATATATAGTAGAAATTGGTTTGATATATATTTTCTTGTTTTCAACCACTGGCATTTTTTTAAAGAGAAAAAAATCATCATGGAATATTTTAAAAATGAACTAACACATGTAAAGAATTACATGGACTTTGCAAACAAATAAAAGGGCAAAAAATTAAATCCAATTTCAGGGTTTTCAGTCCTTTCAACATTGCTTTAATCATCTTGGTTTGTCTTTTTTCACAAGGGAATGCTGTGTTAATGACTCAGTTTTGCATCTTTCTCTGTAACACTAGAAATCAATCAGAATGCCTCATTAGCCCAGGGTAAACCGCAGCATCAGAATGTTTATATAACAATTTAATAAAGCGGAAATGCTTCAGTGTGGTTTTCAGTTCACTGTTTGGTGTTTAAGAAAGAGGTTTGTGGTTGTCCTTGTGATTTTTGTAATTGTTGTTTGACCGTATGCTGTTAAACTTAATGGATTGCCTTTATTAATGAACTTACCAGATTAATGCCATCAGTAGCTGATGACTAGAGGTTTCAGATTTCTATTAATAAGGTCATTAAGGAGGTAACCAAGATTTTACTACGAGTAAACTAAGCCTTCATTTTTAGCACATTTTATTCTCTGTAACATAAGTTTACCAAAGGAACATTTTTATGCCTTCATAGTTCTTTATGTAAATAATTCAGATTATAAGGTACGGTGCTGGGAGCCTCAACTGAAAAACAATCTGATTATGTTTTAAATCTGTCCTGGTATAGGCTGGAGAAGGATGCCTCTGCATATTGAATATTATTTAACAAATGTGATTGTTTTAGATTTCAGAATACCACAGAGAAGATGAGGTTACTAGTTATAGAAGAAAACATCCCATAATACATAGTCTTAATAAAATTGTAATAAACTTTTATATAGTTGATGTTGCTTAATAAGCTAAAGATGGTATTTCTCTTGGTACTGACACTGACATTGTTGCATGTAAGTGGATGTTGTTTGAGACTGTCTTTAAAAGCCTAAGGCTTGTGGTAAGTCAGAGAAGCCAGAGATGATGACTAGAACCATGTCTGTCTTCTTGTTGATGCGTAAGATTAAGACCACATTTCTTAAATTTCCATCTATGGTTATTGAGAAAGTATAAATGGTGAATTAATACTATGATCCAGATTTCTAGTGAAAGGTAATCCCCAGGGCAGTCAGTTTCTACGGGAGATTTAGTTGATTTTTTTTTTTTTTTTAATAAAAATTATTATTATCTTAGTTCTATATTGCCTGGAGGTCCGTAGGTGACACAAATGGTTTGTGCTCAGCTACTAACCTAAAGGTTAATGGTTCGAATCCACCCAGCGGCACCACAGAAATAAGGCCTGACGATTCTGCTTCCATAGAGTTTACAGCCAAAAAAACCCTATGGAGCAGTTCTACTCTGTAACACATGGAGTTGCCATGAGTCCGAATGGACTCAATGGCAGCGGGTTTGGTTTTTTTGCTTATAGTGGCCAGTACAGTGCTATATCCATATAAGGTTCTTGGTTAGTGAATAGGCCAGAAGTGACTTGAAATGGTTGCTGTAGAGCAGTGTCAGAGCGGACATCTCTGAGGAGACCAGCACTTTGAATGCGCCAGCTTGAGAGAGTGGCTGCCTTTGCTGTTCACAGCTGTGATTACAGTGCCACCATATGCTATGCAGACCAGCTTGTAAAATTAAGAGTGGCTGCATGTAGAATATATACATTTTTAACTCTCAGTATACCATGAATACTGGTATCCCTGGGTGGTGCAGATGGTCAACGTTATTGCGTGCCGTCGAGTCGATTTTGACTCATAGCAACCCCTGTGACAGAGTAGAACTGCCCCATAGGGTTTCTAGGCTGTAGTTTTTATAGGAGCAGATTGCCAGGTCTTTCTCCTTTGGAGCCGCTAATCCATTAACATATTCGCCTGCTAACCAAAAGGTTGGAGGTTTGAGTCCACTGAGAGATGCCTAGGAAGAAAGACCTGGCAATTTACTTCTGGAAAATCAGCCACTAAAAGCCTTATGAAACACAGTTCTACTGTAACACCCATGGGATTGCCTTGAGTTGAAGTCAACTTGACTGCAACTGGTTTGGTTATACTAGGAAAAAGAATCCGTGTAGATTTAACAGCCCCCTCCCCCTTGTTTATATACATCATTTTATGAATATAGAAGTAAGGATAAACACGATTATGGAAAAACAGCTTTATTTGTAATTTTAATAGAAATTTAAGCATAGCAAACCTCTTTCTGTGAAGTAATTTTGACACAAACAAAAAGCTGGAAGAATACTGCCCCATCCTTTTAGCAACATAGATAGTCCAAATTCTTATAAGATATTTTGTGATTAAGTTCTTCCTGTTGAAATGATTAACTGGATGAGAATACCATATTTGTTTTTATCCTTAGAAATATATTTTTCACTCATTGATTCTTGAGTTTGAGAAAATTCACATAGGATATCTTTTTCTGAGGACTCATGATCTGATACTTCACTTATATGACTAATCTCACTGTCTCGAGTGCTGGCCTCTGCATTTGTGTTCATTTCCTGGGGCTGCTGTAACAACGTACCACAAACTGGGTGACTGAAGATGACAGGAACTTACTCTCTCACAATTCTGGAGACCACAAGTCCTAAATCAAGGTGTTGGCAGGGGCGCACCCTCTGGGGACTCTAGGGGAGAATCCGTTGTCTCCTCTTCCAGCTTCTAGTGGCTACAGGTGTTCTTAGCTTGTGGCTGCATCACTCCTCTTCTCTCACAAAAGAGACAACATGTGATTGCATTTAGGGCCTACGGGACAATCCACAGTAAACTCCTCTTTTCAAGATCTGTGATTTAACCACATCTTTTGCCATATGAAGTAATGGTCACTTTTGCCATATAAGGCAATATTCATAGCTTCTGGGGATTAAAAAAAAAACCCATTGCCATCGAGTTGATTCCTATTCATAGTGACCCTAAAAGACAGAGTAGAACTGCCCCAGAGGGTTTCCAAGGAGCGGCTGGTGAATTTGAACTGCTGAGCTTTTGATTAACAGCCATAGCTCTTAACTACTGCGCCATCAGGGCTCCAAATGGAAGATTCCCTCACAGCTGAATAAAGGCACTACTGAGATTCAAACCCAGGATCTGCTGTTTACTAGACAGGTGCTTTAACCAACTAAGCCACAGCACCAACACTAAACCCATTGCCGTTGAGTCGATTGTGACTCATAGTAACCCTGGGGATTCGAACCTGAATGTATCTTTGGGGGTCCATTTTTTTCTCTGCCCACAGCATTCTTCTGATTTGTCTGATAACTGTAAAATATCTTTCTCTGTCAGTTTTCTTCACTTTGCCGTTATTAGCAGAAACTGAAAAAATACGAATTCCCAACTGTTCAGTAAAAGCAAAGAGCAGATTACATAGATGGTATCTCAGGTCTTCTTTTTAACTTCTTGAAGGGTGATGCAGTACTTTCTTTGTACACACAGTAAGGAAACTAAGATGATGGTTTGTTTCACATCCTTTTACATAATTAGTCATTCTTTATGTTCTTATTCTTTTAATTTTTTAGCCTAGCAAGATTGATGAATAATGATGAAATAATTCCTAAAGTGATGAAATGGCAAAATGTTGCAAGATGTAGGAAAAATAAGATCTCTATAATGTAGCTTAGATTTACAAAAGGGTCCAGTGGGCCCACATGGTAATTGCAAAATAGAATTAGTTTCAGATTTTTTAATGAAATTCTTCTTTGTTCTTTGGGATACTTCTAAAAAAGGATAAAAGTCATGAAATGTCACAAATAGTTAGAACATCACAAAAAGGAACTCAAAAACGAAAATTGGGTCAGTGGGACCTGATAGTATACTGAGCATTAATGACTGAGATTTTTTTAAATTTCAGAGATACCAAAACCAAGATACAGTTTCTAAAATCCTTTAAATAACATTTATTACATCATTCAGTGTCCTTTTAAAATAACAAAATAATTCTAGAATTACATTTCCAGTTCAATTTGTCTTACTTTGTTATGTATAATGATCTTAAAAAACTATTTTGTTCCCAACTAAGTGATCATACTCTTATTTAGTATTACCCACCTGAGCCCCAGACTGGTGGTGCAGTTTGTGAGACTAATCAATATTTTAAACATAAATCACTCTGTACAAGAATATATATCCGTGTTTCTGACCAGAAGGACTTTAAATAAACAATTTGCAAAATTTTCAGTGATTTGTCCCAGGTGAAAGATCAGTGGCAACCTAGGGACCTGTTTTCAGATGTTAATTCATTATTCATGAGCATAGTCTGTGAATCTGTACTCACTGACTTTGGGAGGCCATAAACTTGCAGAGAAAGGAGACTTGGGGTTGGGAAGGGACAAGGCATTGTACCTATAGAGGATATTGCTAAGAGCTTTTATACTTGATGCAAGAACATTCATAAACATAATGAAATATGGACATAAGGGATCCAGGTATCCAACAGAGCATCTTTAGAACTATTAACACAAGGAATTATTTTTAAAAGGCTAGTTTTATTTTTATTTTTCCACTATTTACTTCATTCTCAGAGAATCTGACATTAGGAGAATTGCGTGTTTCATTTTTGCTAAAACTTTCATACTGTTAACTACTTACTGCATTAAGTTGATTTAGGCAGTCATAACAGATTAGGCACATGGCCTTCACAGCTGTTCGTGGGAATGAAATTGAAGAACAAATTGGGAAGCGAGGATCAACTTCTTGGTGAAAAGAAAAGCAATGGAAATATATGGAAAAAGCAAAGACATTATACCAACAAACTGTGATAACTTTTCTGCTCTGTACCTACCTAGTGCAAAAGAGAAAAGGTGGATAGTAAGGTACTTGTCCAATAGAACTACCCTACTTCACGTAAGACTCCTATAGAATTTGTATGTAAACATATTAAAATTCCTGATAAAAAGTCTAATAGTAGGCTGCTGTTGCAGAGTAGACAGAGTGAGGATGGGAGAATAACTTCACCCAGGGGCACTCAGCTGGAACCGATTTTGCCCCCGGGGACATTTTTGGTTGTCACAGCTGGTGGGAGCTACTGGCAGCTAGTGAGTAGAGGCTGCTAAGCATCCTACAGTGCTCAGGACAGCTCCTCACAACAAAGAATTACATGGCCCAGAATGTCAGTTAGTGCCAAGGCTGAGAAACCCTGACTAAACTTGTCCTGAAGTTTTCTCCTTTGCTTGGTGTTTTTTTTCTTGCCCTTTTAATTCAACCCAGTATCATTTTTCCACAGCTCTCATATGCTCTCCCATTTATATTCGCCTCCCAGTCGCTGTTCATATCCTTTCTTACTACCAAAATTTTTTTCCTTTTCTAATCCATTTAATCAAGAAAGATAGATTTTCTTCTTTTTCCATCTGTTGTTTTGCCTCTCATAAATTTAAACAATTGTATGCTGACTTGCAAGTGCAGGTTTTATGTACCTCTTCCCAATTCTGCATTCAGTGATGTCACCTTGTGTCTCAGCCTCCTAGTGCTGTTGCCACAGAAATACCCCAAGTGGTGGCTTTAAAGAACAGAAATTTATTCTCTCACAGTTCAGGAGGCTAGCAGCCCGAATTCAGGGTGTGGTTCTAGGGGGAGGTCCTTCCTCGTCTATTTCAGCTTGCAGAAGCTAGCAGTCCTTCGAGTTCATGGGGTTGTGGATTCATCTGCCTCCTTGCTCCTCAGGTCAGATAACGCCTGTCCTCCCCCTGTGTCTGCGTACCTCTGTATCTAATCTGCTCTTTTTACAACTCAGAAGTGGATAGGTTTACTATTCATCCTACACTGGTATGACCTCAACTGATTGATTGGTTACATTTACATTAGATTGTATTATGGAAAATGATTACATTAGATTACATCCACGGGTATAGGAGTTAGGATCCCAACACATGTTTTCTAGGGCCACAGTTCAATTCATAACACATTGGTAGCTTGAAATGGGCCATGATGGTAGTATTTAAACCTTGGAAATTAGCAGACATTGCTAACTAGGGCTCCCCACCTTGCTAGCACACCGCTAAAGTCACCGTCTTTAGCCTGCCTTCGCTGAGTGCAGAAGAATGTTGTTATATGAGGAGAATCCAAATAAGGATGTTGTGGAAGTTTCAACAGCTGTTGCCTAACTTGTCTGAGGTGTACAGGCAAGTGCTAGTAAAGTATTAATATGCATATTTTTGTTATTTTCTTTTTCTGATTTTGGAGTGTAATTATAGTTTTTACACCTTCCTTTGAATTTCCTCCTCTTCAGTGGCAAGCTAATGGACTAATCTTTGTACCTGTACTTGCAGGAAGCGGTTTGACAAGGCTGAAGCAGAGTATGTTACAGCAAAGCTAGATCTACAGCGCAAGACTGAAACTAAAGAGCAACTCACTGAGCACCTTTGTACGATCATACAGCAAAATGAGCTCCGGAAGGCCAAGAAGTTGGAGGAGTTGATGCAACAGCTGGATGTACAGGCTGATGAGGAGACTTTGGAACTTGAGGTGGAGGTGGAAGGATTGCTGCAGGAACAAGAAACAGAAGCAGGAAAACAAATGGCTCATTTAGAGAAGTCATGTCATCCTTCTGGGGACAGGGTGACATTAGGATTTTCTAGAGAGAACAAAAAGCATCAAGAACAAACTGCTTCCCCAGAGATAGATGAACAGTGTGAAAATTCCAATAGCAGTTCCCTTCATAGTCAAAACTGCCAAAATCAAGACATTAAAACTACTGTAGGTGACATATCAGCCGCTCTGCCCACATGAAGTACCAGTGTTTGTTCTTTTCAAATAATATGGTACATGGTAAAGTATACTTTCTGCTGTAGATTATGCCCTGGCCTCTGATAGAAATCTCTTCAAAACAGTGTTAATTTTTGAATCTGTGGTTGGTTTTAGTATTTTAACATGTTTGATCATTCCAAAGTCTCAAATTATGGTAATTTTGTATCAATAGGTATATTTTACCTTGATTTTGGTCCAGTACCTTCAGCATATCCTTATTAATGGGATAAAAGTAACTTAAAAGAATGGAAGAAAAACTGCATGGTTAGAGGGTTTTTAGACCTGGTCTGTACAGAAAAGTAAAACGAAAATGATACTCAGTATCTAACTGAATTATATAACTTCTCCTGAGAGAAGTGTTGAGAGTGGGAACACTATTCTGTGTAATTAGTAAAAAGACACAAACTTTACCATTTGCAAAAGAGAGAGAGGTGGAGGCAGAAACAGCTAACAGAAGTACCAAGTTGAAGTATCTGTCTGGACTCTACTAGATTTGTAAAACAGAACTTAGAAGTTGCAGTTTATGTAAAGAACCAGACAACTTAAGCCACCATAACCCTTGTCTTAAATATGCCTTTTAAATGGTTTTAGTTTACAACTTGAATTTTGGTTAATTTATATATGCAGACACACCCATCCACTTCTCCCCAAACAAGCGCGCATACACACTGCCAAAAACCAGACTGTTGAGTTGAATCCCGCTCATGACAACCCCGTGTGTTTCATTGTAGAACTACACTCTATAGGGTTTTCAGTGGCTGTGATTTTCAGGATTAGATCAAATAGATCTTCAGGTTTTTCTTTTGAGGTGCCTCTGGGTGAATTAGAACTGCCAACCTTTCAGTAGGCACATGCATAACCATTTGCCCCACCCAGGGACCCCTACAGACACTGCACATGTGTATGTAATTTTACCATTAATATATTTTCTTTGATCAAGGTACTGATTAGCTAAACTAATCCGAAATTGATTATTAAATAAAATTGCTACTTTTGATATTAAAAAAAATTGATACATTTTCTTTCTAAAGTTATCTGTCAGTGTGTTTTATATGTTAGACATAAAATTATCCTGTCATGAAGCATTTAAATTGTTAAAATGTTCATTTTCTTATTAATAACCTATTATTAATAGTTGATCACTACATGTAAATATGTAAATAAATTATAGTTTTGTCACAAAAATCTATATATTACTTTAAGTTGTGATCTATTTATCAGAAATTGCAACAAGTATAAAAATTGTGTTTTAAGTCTTTAAAAAGCACTATTTTAAAAGGATAAGGACAAGTGCAATATTATCCATAATAGCTTCTGGAAAAGTTATTATACTATCTTCTAATATTCTGTATGAACTTTGTGTTTTTATATTACATAATTTTAGTTGAGATACAGCTATCTATTACTGACTTCTCTAAACAGAAGCATTTATGTAAATAGTTACATTTTTATTTATGAATGGGATAAAAATTGAAAGCTTCATCCAAAACACTGATTTTCCTAACGAATAAATGAGTCTCGTGTATTTATAATTTTTTTTGTTTACCTTAAAATTTTTTCAAACAGTATGTAGCAGTAGTGTCTCTTGGATCTCCATGTGGTAGATACAGTTATCTACTCTTGTATGAGCCCTGATTAAGGAAAACTCATCGATAAATGAGATGCTATAATATTGCTAAATACAAAAAGGAGTACAAGCTAATTCTCAGTCTAAGCACTTGTCTCAAGCTCTATGGAGAAATGAGAGCTATGAAATGAGTGCATTGGATGGGACTTCAGCAGACGTCTGATTTAATCATTTTATTTTACAGATGAGGAATCAAGGACCAGGGATTTTACTAGTGGCTTGTTGGCCAACTGGCTTATTTTAAACTTCAAGTGCTAGAAAAATTGCAGTTCTGTGCTCTTAATGTATCTCTTATTATCTTAGGCTATGAAGTTCACTGCATTCCTCCACTTGAAAATTTTGCGTTATAACCAATTCAGGTATTTTTTTGTGTGAAATGCTTTCAAATATGGCTATAAAAGGTTCACTGAAACCACTATTTTGAAAAACTTTATCTTGCTTGGTTTTCCCAGGGTGGTATCTGAGTGCTCAGGTGATGATATAAGTGACAAAATTATATTGCATCAATTTTATACACAGGCAGCTGTATCCCATGTGTGGGAGGAACGAGCAGATGAATGAGAAATGGGGCTCATTGGTATGAGGACCATATGCACTGGCTTTTCCAGGATAGCCTTGATATCATATATATTTTTTAAATAATAAAATACATTTGAAAGGCTTTTGATATATGAATTCATAAATCCACAAAAATTGTTAGTTTCTTTGACTAAGTTATTGGCTCAAAATTACCACCACAAGTTTATTGGGGAACTTTTTACAGCTGACTCCAAACTCTTGCTCCTTCTCACGCAGTTACGGCATAAGGTTATCAAGGCTCTTAATGATATGTAATTTGGGAGTTAACTACCTTGTGGTATCTCACTGGTTCAACTTAAAAAAGATATTTTGTACCAAGTTGCAGTAATTTCACTTATAAAAGTATACTTCTCTCTTAGCTAAACTTTAATTCCTGGATTTAAGGCTCCTTAACACCTAGATTCCCTACTTCTTTCTTTAAATTAGGGCTATTTTTATAGATTTTTTTTAAAGCACAGTTCTCATTGCATTTAAAATAAAAATTTTTCTCAAGGTACTTTTACCTCCACATAGTTGTGCCGAATTACAGCACTTGCAGGTGGTAAATCTCTACTCATTGAGAGCACAGCTGGTAGAGACTTTAGTTCCCAAGTCAGATGATAAAAATCTCTGATTGGAATTCTTAGCACATATTCATTGCTGGACTGGCATTTGAGTTATAGAGTAAGAACTCAGCTATAAACCTATCTCGTTCTTTGTTTGGATTTAGCAACGTAGTATTCTCAAGGAACTTAACTATCTAAGCATTCAGTGACTTCCTCTTCTATGGCATTGGCACAAAACGAACTCAAGTTATTCTGACCCAGGCTATTCCCAGTGACCTTTATAAATTATGTTTGGGGTTTTATACTTCTAAGGAGCTGGGTCAGCATTTTAAAAGGTCGTGATAGATATAACTCAGTCTGCCAGACAAGACCTGGGGCCACTCTGGACCAGGGTAATTATACTGCCTCAACATAGACCTATCCCAGGCCTGACTTGAATACGCTGGAGGGATGACGTGGGACACTATGCTCCAGTCTGCCTTTGCCTGAATGTCAGGCTACTGCCAAGCTCCTAATTCCAAACAGCTGTCATGAAAAACACAGTATCAGCTATTTATGCAATTGATCAAACTGTATGTAGCTACCTATATGGACAGAGATATATGAGGTATCTGATGTGTGCCTTTTGTCCTAAGAAGCTTATTGTCTAGGGACTAAGATTTACACTTATCAAAGGCTGATATAGAACAGAATGTGTTGTTAATGGGAGGCCAAATAAGTGGTTACAACAATGAACATGGATGCATCCTCCAGAAGTTCCAAATTTTTAGAACATTCCTAATTTTAAATATTCTATCCAGTTGCTCTACAATACATCAACTGTGTTTAGGACCTGCTGTATCTTTCAGTTTGCTTTTAGCACTGGGGAGCAACACACACATGACTAAAAGGAAAACACACAAAAAACAAAACCTCTCAGACAATATGTTAGAGAAGTACCAGAGCCAGAGGGAATTGGAAAGAGAGAGGTTTTTGCATGTTGATTTAAAATAAGGGGCCCACTGGGATTTATCAGTGGGCAAAACCCCATCAAGCATTAGAAAAATTTAAGCACATGCCTTTATGAGAAAGGGTTGATAGTGTCTTCTTATGTAAAGAATAGCATAAATGTAAGAGCTTGTTAAAATTATTGAAGGTGGTGGTGAACCACGGGCCAGTAATTATCCAAGCCCAGAACAAGGTAGAAATGGAACAAACTGGTATGAACTCAAGGATAACTCAACACAGAGGCATGTTCAAAGATCATACACAAGAGGGGTCTTTCCAAGAGAAATGACTCTGGGAGCCTAAAATAGAGCCATAATTAAGCAATAAGACATGACAGGGAGCACATTTCTCAGTGATTATAGCATGCCTCAAGGGATAAGTCACTAGGCCAAAGGTTCATGTGAGGACTGAAATAATAACCTTGCAAAGTATAGAGTCACTGATATTAGGAGAGGGAGAAGCAGAGGGAAGTGAATAATGGGAGTTAGAAGAGTCATTTCATGAGCTATTGTGTAATACTGCCATATGTATAGTACATGTGGCCATCAGTTTAATCTAGCCTTCTAAAGCTGTGCATTTACACCAAAGCCTTCACTTAATTAAAAACTCAGCAGAATTGGTTATCTTCTCTTTTTCTTAGCCAAACAAAAAACAGACAAGACAAACAAACCTGAAGGTCCACAGGCATTCTGAAAGAATCATAATTACAGTTGCTTAGACCTGGATTTCATAACTGAAAAATAGCTGAAACAACCACAGTTGAGTCTTTTTTTATGTTCAATATTTTGGCTCTTGTACCTCATGTGCATTTCTCTCAAAAATGCCAATAGACATGGCCCCAGTGTCACTTAGGTACAGAAATATATCCAGCCCTTTAATCTGAGCTTTTCCTTCCCCACAGCTGTGTGTTGGTGGGAGAAACGGAGGACCCTAGTCCTGCTGACCAAATAAATCCCTCATTATGGTGAGGAGAAGTCTGCCTTTTACCAAGATGAGAGTTGAGATATCTAGTACTGTCATGGAATGAATTATGTCCCCCAAAAATGTGTATCAATTTGGCTATGCCATGATTCCCAGTTTGTGTGGTTATCCTCCATTCTGTGATTGTAATTTTATATTAAAGAGGATTAGGGTGGGATGTAACACCCTTACTAAGGTCACATCCCTGATCCAATGTAAAGGGCGTTTCCCTGAGGTGTGGCCTGCACCACCTTTTATCTTCGTAGAGATAAAAGGAAAGGGAAGCAAGCAGAGAGTTGGGGACCTCATACCATCAAGAAAGCAGTGCTGGGAGCAGAGCGCTTCCTATGGACCTGAGGTTTCTGTGCTGAAATGCTTCCAGACCAAGGGAAGACTGATGACAAGGACCTTTCTCCAGGACCAACAGAGAGAGAAAGCCTTCCCCTGAAGCCAGTGCCCTGAATTCAGACTTGTAGCCTACTGGATTGTGAGAGAATAAACTTCTGTTTGTTAAAGCCATCCACCTGTATGTCTGTTACAGCAGCACTAGATGACTAAGACAAGTACCCATAGGATGGGGCAAAAAAATTTCGGAACTCTGACAGAGGCCCTGAGAAGCCCTAAGGATATAGGCTGCTGTCTTTATTACTGGATTCCTCTCCATGTTTCTATGATTCTTATTTATTACCTTAGAACATGGTTAAAAATCTGAGCCATATTCAGAGAGCAGTGTTTTCTGTGGTTCTTAGGGTCTCCCATGGCACAGGACAGAGCTGTACCTTGGACATGAGACTGGACAAACAGCCCGGTCCCTATTTCAGGTGACTAGTGTTCTTTCTCTCAAAATCTCTTAGGAAAAAGTTCTGAAGGCAATTATTTAGATCTTGGGGAGACTTTGTAGATTACTTCTCCCGAGAGTGTCTACATTTTAATGTAATGGAATATTTCAAAGCAATGTATTTTCTTACAGTCCCATTGGTGCAACTATTAAGCACTTGGCTACTAACCAAAAGGTTAGTAGTTTCAACCCACCAAATGGCTCCATGGGAGAAAGACCTGATGGTCTACTTCCATAAAGATTACAGCCAAGTACCAGTACTGAACATTTTGATCAAAGATTCTGTAGAAGATTCCTCATCAAATGGGAATACAGAATAGAAGTTGAAATTCTCATGGACTCCACATTTTCTGGAGCCATGGAGGCTGGATGAATCCCTGCAGCTATTCCCTGAGATACTCTCTGGACCTCGAATCAGGAATGTACCCTGAAGTTTTCTTAAAACCAAACAATGGTTTAGCTTAACTAGTAAAGAATGTCTGCTTTAGTATTGCGCTCTTTCAGGATCTATCTATATGGGATCAAACTGACAACAGCAACTTGAAAGATTAGATAGGAAACCTTAGGGGACAGTGAGTTTATGTTAATGGAGAGGAACAACTCAGAAAAGAGGGTGAGAATGATTGCACAACTTGAAGAGTATGACTCAATGTCACTGAATTTACATGTAGAAACTGTTGAATTGGTGTATGTTTTGCTGCATATATTCTCAACAGCAAAATAAATAAAATTTAAAAAAAAAAAAAGACTACAGCCAAGAAAACCCTATAGGGCAGTTCTGCTGTGTCATATGTAGTTGCTATGAGTTGGAATCAACTTGATGGCACTTAACAACAATGGAAATCTTAATCCCCTGAAGGAATCTCAAGTATCAGACAGCACGTGTAAAAATTAGTTGGGGGAGTGGTGCTGCCAGGAGAGGACTTGGAAACATCCTGAAATCATATCTCACTTCATGAGCTGTGAAAAAATTTCCTGAACTTTAATTATCTGTGCTAAATAGTAAACCCCATTTGAGGAAAATGATCCCAACCTGTCCACCCCTAATTTCCTATTTCTAGTGAAATGCTGTTAGAGAAGGGAAACCAACTCTACCATTCTAGCTAAATATGTAATTTATTTATGGCTGTATAACAAACCACCCACAACTTAGTGTCTTAAAACAACAACCACTCTATTTGCTCTTGATTCTATGGATCAGCAATTTGGTGTAAGATCAGCTGGTAAGTTCTGCTGGTCTTGCTGGGGATCACGCATGAGGCTGCAGCTGGATGGTCTAAGACAGCTAAGATAGCCCCACTCACATTCTGGCAGTTGGTGCTGCTTATCTGCTCAAGCTTTCTTTCCATTTAGTCTCTCACCCTCAAAGAGGCTAGCTTGGGCTTCTATTTGTGGAAGTCCCAGACTTCCAAGATGGCAAAGGTGGGAGTTGCAAGGATTCTTGAGGTCCAGGCTCAGCAGCTGCATACATTATTTCTGCTATATTTCACTGGTCAAAGCAAGTCACAAGACCAGCTCAGATTCAAGTGATGGGTAAATGTACTCTACAACTTGATGGAAGGGGCAGGAAAGTCACATTGTAAAGGGACATTCATACAGGGAGAGAGGAATTGTGGCCATCTTTGCCAACAATCTAAAATTAGCACAATCTGCCCCCTAGCTATAATAGTTCACATCTATTCTATATGCAAAATGCATTCACATCCTCCACCAAAAGTCTCACCTCATTATGGTTCCAGTCTTGAAGTCCAGGATCTCATCATCTAATCAAGTCCAGATGTGGATGAGGCTCCTAAGTGTATCACCTTAAGTGTGTCTCCTCTTAAGACCTGTGAACTAAAATGTAAAATTAGCTACCCCTTCCCCCTAGCCCCATATCTCAACATAGAGTGAAGAGACGGGGACAAGATAGCTTTAATAAATACTCCCTTTGAAAAAGAAGAGCAGGAGACACATTGAAGGTATTGATTCATAAAAATTCTGAAATGTAGCTTGGGACAGGTTGTCAGGCCTCCCTCCTCTGGGAACAGGGAAAATTCTATGATTAAGGCTTAGTTTTGCATCCAGGGAATGGTTTACTAGTGTTCTCCACAGCTCTTGGCTCCACACTCTAAGATAACTTTCGTTTTCCATAAGAAATGGCTCATGTTTTCAGCTGAGTAGCTTTCTTAGCCTACATCCTTCCCATAGAGACTTGAGGGCCCAGAGTCCTCTTTTTGTTTGAAATGTTTTGGTTTTAGTTTAAGATGTTGGTGCTTTGGTCAATACAGCTCTCTTAAAAACTTTGTAGGTTTCCTTTGAATCTTCTTGGGGTTTGCTGATAACCTCAAAACTACATTAATAATTATTTTCAGTGAAGACCTCTCTTGACTTTGTATATGTCAGGCAGCTGTGAGACAATGCCCTTAAGACTCTTAGAAGAACTTGTGTCTAACTGAGAGATTCTACTAGGCACCATTTTAAATATTTTTAAGCTCTTAATGAAAGATCTCACAGTCACGCCCTTGATGCAATTTACCCTGGGACTATTTTATACTTTCATAATCTTCTGCCAGCTGAAGAGGCTGGGGATGAGAAACAGTTTTATTTTCCAACCCAGTGAGCCCTCTATATACTTTCTCTAAATTCAGCTTGCAAACTGAAACAGTTCCTTCTGTTTTTGTAGTATCTCTCTTTTGTAGTACCTTACTATATGCATCTAAAAAATTATTTGCCATCTAGTCAATGCCGACTCACGACGACCCAATGAGTGTCAGAGCAGAACTGTGCTCCACAGGATTTTCAATGACTGATTTTTCAGAGGTAAATCACCAGGCCTTTCTTTTGAGGCATCTCTGGGTGGACTCCAATCTCCATTACATATACCTAGAAGCACTCAATTGACACTTTCACCATTCTGTCTAGAGATATCCTTAGTCATGAATTTATCAGGTATGCTTTCTACTTTTTGAGTTATCTTGGGTGAGATTTTCGCCAGTTTTTCCACCACTAGGTAATGTGGGTTGCCCATTTTCCAGCTTTCTACAATAGTTTCCTCACTGCTTTTCTAGCCTCTGCCTGCTCTCTGGTCCCAAAGCCAAAGCCTTATGTGTTAGGTTTTTGTTACAACAGCATCCCACTTTTAGGTACCAATTTATGTATCAGTTGTCTATAGCTATGTAATAAATCTCCTCAAAAATCAGTGGCTTACCTAAAACTATACACCTGGAAAGGGTGAATTTCACTCTGTATGTTCCCTGAGTGGCACAAATGGTTAAGCCCTTCATTATGCACCGAAAATTTGGAGGTTTGAACCCACCCAGGTACCCATTGTGGTTGAGTCGATTCTGACTCATAGCGACCATATTGGACAGAGTAGAACTGCCACATAGGATTTCCAAGGCTGTAAAAT